TTCCACAAAGATGCAAAAGATAAAACTAAGCAATGGACTTTCACTAAATAAGATAAATAAAATGCAACCACACTTATCAATAATCTCAATAAATGTTAATAGATTGCATTCCCCACTGAAGAGGCATAGATTGGTTGATTCTATTAAAAAATACAAGCCATCCATTTACTGCCTGCAGGAAACACACCGAGCCTCAAAAGACAAATTAAAATTCAAAATTAAGGGTTGGAAGACAATTTTTCAGGCAAACAGAATTCAGAAGAAAAGAGGGGTTGCAACCTTATTTTCAGATACATGTGGACTTAAAGCAACTTAAAGACAAAAAAGACAAAGATGGACACTTCATATTGGTCAATGGGAATACAAGAAGACATTTCAATACTAAATATTTATGCATCCAACTTAAATGTTCCCAGATTCTTAAAAAAACACCTTAATTAGTCTAGCAATATGATATCCTATAACACCATAATAACAGGGGACTTCAACACTTTTCTTACAAAAATAGACAGATCCTCTAAACAGAAATTAAACAAAGATAGAAATGAGACCCTAGAACAACTATGCTTGATAGAAGTATATAAAACACTCCATCCCAAAGCTAAAGAACAAATTCTTTTCATTGGCCCATGGAATATTCTCCAAAACTGATCATATCCTAGGACACAAAACAAACCTCAACAGAATCAAAAGAACTGAAATCTTACCTTGTATCTTCTCTGACCACAAGGCACTAAAGGTCGAACTCAACTCCAACAAAAATGTTCAACCCCACACAAAGGCATGGAAATTAAACAACCTTATGCTGAATGAGAGTTCGGTGCAGGAAGAAATAAAAGAGGAAATCATTAACTTCTTTGAGCATAACAACAATGAAGACACAAGATACCAAAACTTGTGGGATACAGCAAAAGCAGCCCTGAGAGAAAAATATATTACTTTAGATGCCGACATCCAAAACACAAAAAGAGAGCAAATCAACAAATGCACAAGCCATCTTACGGAATTGAAAAAAGAAGAACAATCTAAGCCTAAACCAAGCAGAAGAAAAGAAATATCCAAAAATTAAATCAGAGATTTATGAAACTGAAAACAAAAGAATCATTCAGAAAATTAATGAAACAAGGAGTTGGCTTTTTGAAAAAATAAATAAAATAGATAAAACTTTGGCCAGACTAACTAGAAATAGAAAAGTAAAATCTCTAGTAACTTCAATCAGAAATGATAAAGGGAAAATAACAACTGATGCCACAGAGATACAAGAGATTATCTCTGAATACTACCAGAAACTCTATGCCCAGAAATTTGACAATGTGAAGGAAGTGGATCAATATTTGGAATCACATCCTTCCCCTAGACTTAGCCAGGAAGAAACAGATCTCCTGAACAGACCAATTTCAATCACTGAGATCAAAGAAATAATAAAAACTTCCAACAAAAAAATGCCCTGGTCCAGATGGGTTCACACCAGAATTCTATCAGTCCTTCAAAGAAGAGCTTATTCCCATACTGCAGAAATTAATCCAAAAAATTGAGGAAGAAGGAATCTTTCCCAACAAGTTCTATGAAGCAAACATCACCCTGATACCAAAACCAGAAAAAGACCCAACTACAAAGGAGAACTTCAGACAAATTTCACTGATGAACATAGATGCAAAAATTGTCAACAAAATTCTAGTCAATAGATTACAGTTTATCATCAAAAAAGTCATACATCATGATCAAGTAGGTTTCATCCCAGGGATGTAAGGCTGGTTTAACATAGGCAAGTCCATAAACGTTATTCACTATATCAACAGAAGCAAAAACAAAGACCATATGATCCTCTCAACAGATGCAGAAAACCTTTGATAAAATCCAGCATCCTTTTTTAATTAGAACACTGAAGAGTATAATCATAGGTTGCACATTTCTTAAAATGATCAAAGCTATCTTTGACAACCCACAGTTAATAGTTTATTGAATGGAGTAAAACTGAAAGATTTTCCACTTAGAACGGGAACCAGACAAGGTTGTCCTCTCTCACTATTACTCTTCAACATAGTGCTGGAAGTTCTACCCAATACAATTAGACAAGACAAGAAAATAAAGGGCATCCACAGAGAAGGTCAAACTCTCCCTCTTTGCCGATGATATGATCTTATACTTAGAGAACCCCTAAGACTCAACCACAAGACTCCTGGAAGTCACCAAAAAATACAGTAATGTCTCAAGATATAAAATCAATGTCCATAAGTCAGTAGCCTTTGTATATGTCAATGATAGTCAAAATGAGGGGCTAATTCAGGATATAACCCACTTTACCATAGGTTCAAAGAAAATGAAATACCTAGGAATTTACCGAACAAAAGAAGTGAAGGACTACTATAGAGAAAATTATGAAACCCTAAGAAAAGAAATAGCAGAGGACATTAACAAATGGAAGAACATACCATGCTCATGACTGGGAAGAATCAACATTGTTAAAATGTTTATACTTCCCAAAGCAAT